GGGGAACGGCAAGAGGGAGGCCCGCCTCGGGCGGCCGGCGGCCAAGTGCGAGCCGGCGCCCTCTGCTGTCCGGGAGGAGTCACTGCGGGCCACGCTGCGGCCACAGGGGTCGAACGAAGCTGGGCGGGGTAGGGAAGGCACCCTAAGTGACAATAAGTTACAGACCTTATCCTCCCTGGGTGCCTGTACGTGCTCAGCGCCTCGCCGCTCGGCTATCCTCCTCCCCGGCAGAGACGTTTCCCAGAGCTGCTCGCCGCTTTAGGGGTAACACCCCCAAATTCCTCGCTAGCAGAGACTAGGCTGGGTCGACTTCTTGCGCTTCCTTCAACTCAGCCGCTCTCGACTTAGGTTCGTTCCCTCTGGCACAGCTTAACTTCTTTTTCATCCCTGCCCTTGCTGTTCTCTGTGTAGCCAGCAAGGTTTATCGACTTCACCGCTCCTGGCGTTTTGGAAGAGTTTAGTTTTGGCGTCGGGGCTGTCCTAGGTAAGGCATGGTTTGCAAGGGAAGCATGCCTGGCCTCTAGCCACTAAATGCCATGACCACGTGGCCCCTCTCTTTCCAAAGTACGGCAACCAAAAATCCTTACACATTACCAGATGTCCAGGGAGGCTGAGAGAAGTGGGAACTGCTCCCGCTTGGGCAAAGCCAGATCACCCCTAGCAAGCAATTTCACGTTGGTCACATGAGGTCCCACCAGCTCCCCAGCCAGGCTGACACAGATCAGTCCCTAAGGTTGCAGCTCAGCTCCCTGAGAGCTGCCCTCTTTCAAACTAGTATGTTGTATTTCATAGCTGCGGTCATTCAAGTTCTGTTCCCCGCCTGCTCTGGACTCTCCCTTCAGGCTCCGAATGGTCTACCCCTTGTATTTTCTTTACTGCTCCGCTCATAGGCCTCCCAGAAGCGAGACTCGGAGCTCCTTGTTTGTGGAATGAATGAAATGTTTGGCACATATCAGTCGATCTTCATGGCTGAGCTTTGAGCTAAGCATGATTGGTGTTTGCATGCCACCAATTGGGAGTATGGTGCCCTGGGCTAAATTTACTCCGGTATTCACCTGCCGAAGCCCGAGTTCCAAATCTGTCCAACTGCACCCCCACCCCCACCCCACCCCATCTCCCCAGAAAATCACGGCCAGCGCCTAAGGCAGTGTTTCTCAACCTGTGGGTCTTGACCCTTTGGGCATCCAAAGACCCTTTCAGAAGGGTCACCTAAGGACATCGGAAAACACATTTTTACATTGCGCTGCATAACAGTAGCAAATTACACTTATGAAATAGCATCAAAAATAATTGTTGGGGTATGTCGACAACATGAGGAACTGTACTGAAGGGTCGCACGCAGCATTAGGAAGGTTGAGAACCACTGCCCTAAGGTATGAGAAACCTGTGCCTTCATCTCTTTTTAAAGGAGTATGGGGAGAGACCCAGAGAGCTGAGTTACAAAATTCTCTTTGCCTTCAGCACAGATGGGGTAGTTTTCACAGAAGGAGAATTCAAGTTTTTTTAGCTGAAAATGCTGAGTCAGTCCAGGGAACCCACAGGTTAACATAACATTATTAATAATAGTAAATACTTGGATTATTAAAAGAAGGGGCCAGATGGGTTGACTAATGTGTTTCTGAACCGGTTCCTTTATGAAAAATATTAAACAGCCCCGAGCCCCTGGTTCACCTTCAGCAACTATCAGCTTTTTTGACACCCTTAGCCAATCTCTGTCCCCTTTCCTAATTTAAAGTAAACTGTAGCTATTATATCATTTATCTTAAAACCCATCCACTTATATCACTGAAAAAAAATAATTTCAGGACTGAGAATGTAGCTCGATGTCAGGGTGCTTACAATGTATAGGCAGGCCCTGGGTTAGATCCCTAAGCCCTGGAAAAGTGAGACACTACCCCCCCCACCCCCACCCTCCATCCCCCACTCCCGCTTCCTGTAACTACAGTACAACTCGCACACATAGAAAGTTAGGAGTAAATTCTTGAAAACCATCAAATGTCCCACCACTCTTGAAGTTAGCGCTAATATCAGCAATTTTTTTAGAGTTTTTATACTTTCCCTGGCTCCTTAGTGTACAATTGTAGTTAGGTAGTATCGGAGCACGGTCCAAGATTGGAGTCGTTATGAGATTTCTGAGTGCTTGTAAGAAACCAGGACAAGAGTCCTGTGACTTAAGGTTCTTTAAAAACACAGAATTGTTCTTGGAATGTATTTCCGTGCTCTTCCCAGGTGTAGCTTATAGGAGTGAGTTTACTTCCATTACTCCCGTTACAAATGGCTATGGTTATTTGTTCATGTGCCTCTATGGAAAAACATTTTCACCACTTGAGGCTTGTCCACCCCATGCTTGCCCTTGTGACTGGACACTTTATTCATATGACTGTTTGTTTGTTTGCTTGTTTGTGTTTGTTTTTTTCAAGACAGGGTTTCTCTGTGTATCTTTGGCTGTCCTGGAACTCACTCTGTAGACCAGGCTGGCCTTGAACTCACAGAGATCCGCCTGCCTCTGCCTCCTGGGTGTTGGGATTCAAGGCGTGCGCCACCACACCCGGCTTCATGTGACTCTTCTTAACCTTCAGCGTGTAAATTGTCTGATACTCTGAATAAAGTTGACTATTGCATGAGACTGCAGTCTGCGTCATGTATCAGCTCCATTCTCCAGATGCCACCACCTCTGGAGAGGTGAACAGGTAGTATGTCTCCTACTGTCTCCTTCTGCTCACATTCTCTCTCTTTTTTTCCCACAGTCTCTCACTGTGTCATTTAACATACATACACCTCATTCTCTCTTTTGTACAAATAGGAGGTTAGATCTAATTTGTACCCGGTTCAGTTTAGGCAAGAGCATTATGTTTTTCCATTAGGAGGTGCATAATGGGGGTGTCTTTTCATGTTAGCAGTCACTGACAGTTGATGCCTACAATCATTGACAATTACAAAATAATGGTATTCTGGTTCTGTCATTCCCATGTCTTCATTTTTTTTTTTTTTAGCTGAAATATTTCTGTTAAAATGGTCAAAAGACAAAGCCAGGCACTGGGATGCATCCCTTTAATCCCAGCACTCAGGAGCCTGAAGCAGGTGGGTCTCTGTGAGGTCAAGACCAGCCCAGTGAGAGAATGAGGGGTATGTTAAATGCCACAGACAGTGAGAGACTAGAAAAAAAGAGAGAGAATGTGAGCCGAAGGAGACAGTAGGAGATATACTACCTGTTCACCTCTCCAGACGTGGTGGCATGTAGACTGGCAAGTTCCAGGCCAGCTAGAACTGCATGATGAGATGATGCTTCAATCAATCAATAAGAAAAAACTTCCCCACATCTACTAATTGCATGTCAGAAAGACACAATAAATGTTTCTTTCCTTGCCTTTACTCTCAGATTTCCAAGGTCCTCTATTGGATTCATTTCACCTCCTCACAGTGATCACAGTTTTTAAGTACCATTATATATATAAGTCAAAAATCAAGATATTTATGTGTGATCCATTACACATCACCGTTGCTGACACCATCTAACCATTGGACAGTGAGAGACTCTGAGTAGGCTCTTGTGTATTTTGGCAACACCTAGACTTAGGAGCAACTGAATTGTGTTTTGGCAAGAGCCTGGACTGACCAAAAGATGATGGCATGCAGAGTACAAGGCTATCAGAACAGAACAAAAAATGTTGACCCCATTCTAACTAGAGGACACTGCCATAGTCTCTTATTACTAGCAAACCTTCCCATGCCTCCACCTCCCACCCCCCTCACTCCCACCCCCACCTCCCCACCCCACGCACACCCCGCCTGCCCACAGCTTTCGGCTTCTATGCGTGCAGGGCTCACTTGTTATTTGTCGGCCTTCTGGGGTGTCTCATCTGACAAAGACCATAGTAGGAAGGGTGGATAGCAACAGCTAATATAGCTAGTTAAATGAGTGGTTGTATGTGTTGCAGGTTTGTTGTTAAAGAGGCAGGAGTGATGATTTCCAAAGGATAGATGTCCAGCCAGCTGAAATTCATGTGAAGTCCAAGGTGTCTTGTCTAAGAACAACCGGCCCACTGAATGTTAGGTAATATATATGATCAACATCAATTTCCACTTCAGAGAATCACTTGTAGGAAGGCTTTGTTTATTGTCATTCCTTTAACCCTCTCAAGAACACCAAAGATATTATTATCTTATTTTATGGACAAGGAAACCAAAGCTTTGAAAGGCTGTTTTGTCTAAGGCCACATGAGCAGTGAGGCATGCAGTCAGGATTTGAACCCAGATCTGGCTGCCAGGGACCAGCTTCCACTTCCACCGGCACCACCACACTGTGCTTATTGGATTTGCTGAGCAGAAATTACCTTAAAAGATGTTAGCTCTTGAGGCCAGAATAATCTTTTCAAAATGCAAATGGAATTCAGGCATCCCCCACAGACAGCTCCCCTGGCCCAGCGTTCAGTCCTTCAGTGATTTCATGTTGCTTTTAAGATGAAAAGCCAGGGGGGGCTTCTTCTTTTCTGCAGCCCAGACTGGCCTGAAACTGACTATGTAATCTAGGATGACCTTAATTTTGGTCCTCCCACCTCCACCTGCCCAGAGTGGGATTACAAACTTGTGCCACGAGGCTCAATTTTATGCTGTACTAGGAATTGAACCCAGTGCCTTCTGCATGCGAGACAGTACTGTACTAACAAGCTACAAGCCCAACCTCCCAAG